CCCCCTTTCCTCCCTCTGCGCGTATTCGCGCCCCCCGCTGCGGCCCATTAGTTATCCAAGCCCTATCATCTAGCTAATCTATCTCCTTTCAAAATACTTTTGTATCCATCTACCTTTAAATACGATTAGTCCCTTTTCAAAATTTCTTTTTGAAATATGTTGGAAATAAGTAGTTAATTTTTCAAATATTCTCGAAATACTTCCTCTCTGAAAATTCTTTACAATTTAAAGCTTCCCTTTTTCGAAATTTCACGATCGAGATTATTTTTTTATAGAAATTATTTCTTTTTGATATTACGTTTGTACTATTTTCGAAAATACGTCCCAATTAATTCGTTAGTTCCACAAAATCTTTTTGAAATACTTTAGAATTAAATCACCCCTTTTCACAAAATTTCTTTGAAAATCTTTTCCGTTTGGAATTTTCCTTCTTAACTTTTCTTTTGCATTAATTAATTACTTTGTTCTCGAAATTTTAAATTTAAAAATACTTTTGAACTCATTACGTCTTTCCGAAATTTCTTTGAAATATTTTGAAATTACTTAAATTCTTTTTCTTCGAAATATGCAAGGAACATGAATATGGACGAAGCACAGAAATCCAGATTGCAAAATCACACTGAAGTCCAAGTAGTCAAAGCAAGAGCAGATAGCACAATGGAACCGAGTAACCATCCATTTGAGAACAATACAGAAGAATCGTGAGTCAATGTCCATGCCCAACAGGTCAACACCAACAGCATAACCCAATGTAGCTCTCTCTCCTGAATGGCGTCGGGCGCCCTATCTACTCTACAACGTAAGCCTACAACTACAACAATGAAAACAACCAGACAACTTGACGACCAGTGAGTGATGATGTCGACACCAATGCCGACCTCCCACCTCCACCAGGTACGTCTCCTTCACCCATACTCTCCCTTGTTATCCCACACAGCGCCCTTCACTTCCGAAGAACCACCTTCACCCTCACCTCCCCTGCGCCCTTAGGCAGCCCGGCTATGGCCGCCAGCGCCCTGTGCACAGGCAGCGCCCTACCGCCTACCGCCTCGCACCTCATCCTCGCGCAGCGCAACAGCTCGCATTAGCGCAGCGTTGCGGCATTGCCCGCAATGGCCAAGATCCCTGCCCACTCACCCTGCTTGCCTATATGCCAGTGTTCCGTGTGGGCGGCCTCCCTTCAGCCTGCGTCTGGGCCCCAGTCGCTGAACCCAGGCCCGATGCAGTTGAGGCCCGGGCGATGCAGTTGCACCTCTTTCGTCAAGGCCTGCGGCCAGATTCAGATAGTGGGCCGATTTCCCTTTGGCATTTTCGGCCTCTATACCCAGCATGCATTGTCGGCCTCACGTTCAAGTGCCCAGGGCCTAACTAACTCAGAGGCCCTGGGTTTTCCCCATTTGCTGAGATCCGAGACTCGGTGCACTCCAACCAACTGGCGTGCTGCAACTGTATGGACTCCACTTCGTGAAATGTTTGCACAGAGGGCTCTTGTTGATTTGCTGGCCCGCCTTCACTTAGGGCGCGCACGAGGCTTGCTGGGGCCTTAGCCCAGAACATGTACATCATGGCAAGGCCCCTTCTTGAGGGCTCAATCCTCACATTCCATCCCCCTTAGCTTCGAAAGTCCGCTGAGATGCTTACTTCGTAGGTGCCTTCCCTTTCAACATCCTCTCATATTTTGCTACCACCTGAGAAGCTGTGTCAATCAGTTCCTCTCTGGTGAACCACCGGTCTTCTTTTGGATCCGTATGATGCCTGAATCTGACGCGATATTCTCTCTTGGGTTTAGGAGGYCTTCCYCTACCCAAWGGCTTCTGAACAGGCAGATCTYTGTGATCCACAATGTCGTCGATGTCCACTTGACCATCCATGGTTGGGGGCAGCATCGATCTCCTTGAAGGGAATTGATCAGTCTCAGCGAAAGGTGCAAGCTTTGAGGCATGAAAGACAGGGTGAGTGCGTAGGTGTCCAAGGATACGGATAACATAGGAAGGACCATCCATCTCATCCCCCACTACATCCAGGACTTCCCAAGGACCAAAGTACTTAGGCATTAGTTTTCTAGAGATACCGAATTCCTGTCCTAGCTCACTAGCCTTGACCCAGACACGTTCCCCTACCTGAAATGAGGACTGTCGTCGATGGTTGTTCTCAGAAGCAATCATTGCTTGTCGAGCTTTCTTAATATGCTCGACAGCTTCCTGCAGCAACTTCTCATACTGCACACCATACTCAAGTGTGCCCGGAGTTGCAGAGGATCGGTTTTCAGGTAGGAGGAAGTCTAGAGCAGATCTAGGCTTCCATCCCAAGTGCAGCTGGTTAGGACTAACGCCGGTACTGTTGTGTACAGCGTTGTTGTACAGGCTGGCGATGAGAGGCAACTTCTCATCCCAATCATCCTGGCTGGGCTTGATGTAATGCCTCAGCAAGTGTTGTACAACTCTATTCATTTGCTCGGCCTCTCCGTTGGCTTCGGGATGATTCCCTGAAGTCATCTGAAGTTGACTGCCCATCTGCTCAGCAGTCTTCTTCCACAGCTCACTTGTGAAACAGACATCTCTGTCACTAACGATATTCTTTGGTAAACCAAAGTCACGCATTCAGTTGTCCTGGAACAACTTGATGACATGGTCCGTCCTTGCGGTCTCTGGCATGGCAACTGGTCTAGCGTATTTGGTGAATCGATCAATGATGGTGAAGATGTGCCTCTTGCCACTCTTGCTGGTCACCAGGGAATCCATGAAATCCATGGAAACATTTTGTCCTGGACCAGCGGGGATAGGTAAGGGCTTCAGCAACCCAAGCGGTGCTTGAGTTCGCGGCTTGTCCCGCTGACAGACCTGACAGGTCTCTACATACTTCTTCGCGTCATCTAGCATTCCAGGCCACCAAAATCGTTGTACTAGATTAGCACTCGTCTTTTTGTAACCAAAGTGCCCGGTTGCTTCATGGCATTCTCCTAAAAACAAACTACGCAAACGTTCACTAGATGGAACTACTAGCCTTTTAACACCGGCCTTATCAAGATAGAGTAGCCCGTCCACCATCACAAACTCATTCTCTGTGGCCTTGTCTTTTGCCTGAAGTTTGCGCATGATGTCCATCGTGACAGGGTCTTCCTGATAGGCTCCCACCAATGATTGAGTTACTTCTTCAGATACACCAAACTCAGAAACTAGCGCACCTAGGTAGTCTGCCCTACGTGATAGCGCATCTGCAACCTTGTTGTACTCTCCCTTCAGATACTCAAGCTCGAAGTCATATTGGTCTATGACTTCAATCCATCGCTTGAGTGCGTCAGAAAGAGCTGGTTGAGTCTTGATCCATTTGAGGGTCAGATGATCAGTCCTCAAGTAGAAGAACCTTCCCAATATGAAGTGTCTCCAATGGACAAGTGCCTTGTAGAGAGCATAGAGTTCCCTTTCGTAGGTGGACTTTGCCAATTTCTTCGATGGCATTTTCTTGCTCATGTACTCAATCGGTCTCAACTTCTTCCCATCCTGCTGAGCCAGCATTGCGCCAATGCCATATTGGCTTGCGTCTGTGGTCACTATAAATGGCTTCTGAGGATCGGGAACCATGAGAACTTCATGATTCACGAGTGCATGCTTCAATCGCTTGAAAGCACCCTCGCACTCATCACTCCAGTCCCACGGCGTGTCAAGTCGAGTTAGATCCGTCAAAGTAGAGGCGACTGTAGAATAGTTCTTTACGAAGTTCCTATAGTAGCCGCACATTCCTAAGAAAGATCTGACCTCAGTGACAGTCTGAGGTCGTGTCCAGTCTCGAATACTATCCACCTTCGCATCTTCCGGCCTAATCCCTTCCGCGCATACTTCATGACCCAAGTACAATATCTTAGTGCGACCAAACTCACACTTCTCACGGTTGACCTTATACTTGTGCTGTCACAGGAGTGAAAGTACAGTCTCAACGTGCTGTGCATGCTCCTCGACAGACTTACTAAAGATCAGAATGTCGTCAAGGTAAACCACGACAAACTTATCTAAGTGGTCATGGAAGATCCGATTCATGGCGTGCTGGAATGTTCCCGGCGCATTGCAAAGACCAAAGGGCATCACTACAAACTCGTACAAACCATATCGAGTCTGGAAAGTTGTCTTGTGTTGGTCCTCAGGTCTTATAGCGATCTGATGATAGCCGGATTTCAAGTCTATCTTGCTATAGTACTTGCATCCCTGCACCCTATCCAGTAGGTCGTCTATGCGGGGTAGGGGCTCTGCGTTCTTCACGGTGATGGCATTGAGGCCTCTATAATCAATGCACATCCTTAACGTACCCCCCTTTTTTGGTACGAATAATATTGGAAATCCGTAAGGGGAAGTACTAGGCCGGATCCATCCCTTCTCTGTCAGCTCTTTGAGTTGTCGCCGAAGTTCATCTAACTCGGCAGGAGCCATCCTATAGATCCTTCCCTTTGGGGTTTTACTCCCTGGAATGATTTCTATAGCATGGACAACTTCCCTTTCTACAACTCCTGTAGGCTCTTCGAACAGATCAGGGAACTTAGCAACGACGCGTTCTATCTCCGGGGGTGTTTTAACGACAACCCTTTCTCAGAGACATACACAAGGTACATACCCTCCTCTTGGTTTTGTTTGTAATAGTTGTAGAACGCTGATGCGCACAAGCAGCCATAGGTATCTATTATGTTACTGGCTTTGAACTTAGTCAATCTGGCTGTCCTGACATCAGGCAACTTATGCTTTAGCACCTTCTTATCCCAGTCGAACTGGGACTTAGCAACCTCAAGGTAGTACATGCCTAACAACATGTCGAATGGTAAGTCGTCGCTAACCAAGAACGAAATCTTATGATTAAGTTCTCCTCCTCCATAGGAGAAGGTACAGACTACGTCCTTGATATAGTCTGTGACTATCATGCGCTCCTTGTTGGCCAGAGTAGATGCTACAGGTCTACTAAGGTGCCGTACCCGGTCCTGTAGGTGCAGCCTTTCCAAACAGTCGCGACTTATGTAATTCCGGGTGGAGCCTATGTCTATGAAGGCACCACATTTGCGGCCTCCTACATCGACTTCCACCACGAAATGTTCCCCTCTAGGACCTTTCCTTAGTGCCACCCAAGATTCGCAAGGGTCCTTGTTCGACCACTCACTTTCCAGATCTTCTAAGGCTACAAACACATGTAACGTACAGAGCATAGTTTGGTCTAAATGAGTCTGCGGGGTGACAAAAGAGTCATTAGCTATGGCCTTCTCATGAAGTGGGGAGGGTATCAAACCCACTTCAACTTGAGCAGAAGCAGCTAAAACTTCCACCGGCCTCACATGTTTCCCGAGCTAGAAGCCTAGGAAGAAGATGCCCCTATCGTAGGAGGTATCTTCTGCGTGACCTTTGCGTTCTGACACTTGTACTGGGTGTGTCCATATTCACGACAATTTATACAAGCGCCACCCACTCGACGGTCCCGCCACACGTCTTGATCAAGACCTGCCTTAACCCAATCAGCCACTTTGGTCTGATTGGAGGCGGCCTTCCCTTGACTCTTTGGATGGCCCTTCCCTCAGCCACCCGCCTTAGCCTTGACTACTGCGGCGAGGGTGCTACCCTCAGCGATCTCCTCGCCATCATACTCAGAACCCGCCAGCAGGTCTGTGAGCTCATCAATTTTTTGTTTGAGTCCCATCGAAATCAACCATCATCAACTTCGCCCCCTTCTTCTTCAATTCCTGCGGACTCTTCTTCTTCCTCGCATCATTCTGAGAGGGTTGAGCATTTCCTAGTGTAGCCTCTAAGTCTAAGGCTTTTCTAGACAATGTCTCAAACGAATGGTACTCRAGSCRARCCTYGCTGGCSARCAAGTTCCTGAGGTTCYCTGGAAGACATCTAACAAACGTAGTCAACAGGAACTGGTCACTGTAGTTGATGCCTGGAATGACGATGAGGCTCTCTATGGTAGTCGTAAGCTCTCTGACTGACTTAAACTTTCTTTGATCTAGTTTGTTTATCGCATCAGTGGCTATTTGTACCTGCTGAGGATTGTGCCAGCGAGCTTCTACCATCTCAAAGAACTGGTCTAACGTAATAGACTGAGCCCAGTCCGCCATACGTCGTCCATAACCGGCCTTTGCAACTATACCATCTAGCCATTTGGCTGCCTTACCCTCGAGGTAAGATGCAGCAGTAACCACTTTGTCCTCTGGCAAGGTCCTCTTCGCCTTCACCCAAACTCGAACTGTTCTCAACCAAGTGTTGAGTTCTTCGTCCTTCCTCTCGCCTTAGAAGACAAGAGGCAGTTTCATTGGGGTCTTAGGGTACCAAAGACCTTGCGGCTGTCCCTGTTGAGGAACAAGTTGTTGCGGTGGTGTAGCACCCACCGCTGGACCCGAAGAAGAAGAAGCAACAGTCTGTGCAGCTACTGCAGACGTGCCACTTGGTTGTGTGCCAGCTTGTACGAAAAAGGGGCCAGACATCGCCGTTAACGGCAACAACGACTGTGTTGGTGGCCGAAATCCTGGCCTTTGCAAAATATCCAGGATCTGGTCTAGGGTGCTCTGCATGAAGTCCAATCGGCTGTCCACGTGCGCATGCAGCGACAACATATTGTTCTTCAAGACTTTCATTTGGTCAGACAGAACTGACTCATCCAAACCCTCTGACTCAGCTTTGTCTGCCTCTAACGTTTCAAGCTTGGCTGCTCTTCGTTTGATCTCGTTTTCCCTGTCGGTTGCTTGTTTCAGTTCCCTCTCTAACTTCAGGCGGATCCGCTCGACCTGTTGGAGCTCTAAGAGCTCCCTGCCGCGTGGGGTCAACGGGCTAAATTGCGAGCCCGCCATTTGACTTGTGGACTGACTAGAACTTACTGCCCCGGAAGTACCCTGAGGCATTCCCAACAGGGTCCAATTGGTCCCTGACGAGGACGCAGAAGAGGATGCACATGATGACGCAGCAGAGCTTGTGCCGTTAGCCATTGCTACTGCTCTGGCTGCGGCTGCCTGCTCTCTAGCTGCTGCGATTGCTGCTGCTATCCTTGCTGCTAGCGCCCGGGCTCTGCGTTCGACACAAATCCGTCGTTCGTCTTCCGGTTGTAAGGCCTGATACACGTGCGGGACCCTAAGTGCTCCCGAACGTGTAAGTCTCACATTGTCATCTCTACCCTCATCGGTGTCTGACCCACTCATCAGTTAGGCAGACAGTATCTGCACTACAACCCCCTGTTGGAGTCCTACCGCAGCATGTGTCTGACCGACACCTAATTTTCTAAAAATAGTTGTGTCCGACAGGTCCCCTACTTTACCGATCAAGTGGCCGCCTACAACATTCACAACAGATTGTCAACATAGTCTAGATGTATCTTGATTGGTTCACTTACAGCAGCATTAGATAAAACTGGCTATGGTAGTATACAACAGTCCTACTCTAATCTGTCTGTGAGGTGTTAGCAGTCTGTCCACCAACTAATCAAAAATACAAAAGACCATGTTGCAGATGTATGATGAGTGGGTATGGTTGTGTTTCCAGTTGAGCATCAATTAGAACCAACCCTTCCCCTCAATCCAACATACAGGTAAGCATCAATGAGCAGCGATGTCATTCGTGTGCAATGTCGGCCCACCCCTGTGCCCAAGTGGTTGCCGAATAAGCCAGCCAGTCCACTCTTATTTACCCTCGTACGGATCAAGCCTTACAGCCGGTTGATCTGGCTGATCAGGAGGAATATTAAGAGCGCCCCCATCTCTACAGGAATTATTTAACGTCGCAGTCAGGACGACGATCACAGCCAGAATCAACCAAGTCCCCAACCAGAATTGTTTATAGACGGTCTGGTAAGCGTCTCATAAAAGGCTGGCACACCCGGCACGACTTCTATTCAGCGCAGCAAGTGCCAAAATGGACAGCAGCCATTGCATGCGTGACCTACTCCCATTGGGTTGGCATGGTGACCGTGACCCAGTGCTTCGACCAGGGCCCTTCAGAGGCACCACCCTTTCTCCTTCCACATGGTTTGGGGAAGATTGTCGTCTCTCAAGGTAGCGCGCTCACGACACCTCACCAAAAGAGAGGACTCTAAAGTTGGACTCACTTCCTCACGGTAAGAAGAGATTGAGAGAGTAGATAAGGTAAGGGAACAACATACCCGGAGATAGCTGCCCCCAACCACAGATTTCTCACCAATTGAGCTGAGTGCGCATTTGATGACCGGTCTTGGCCTCGGTACCACCCACAACGCAATGCAGTGCCACCTCAGCCGAATGCCACATCAGCATGCTCTCATCACCAATCNTGATGACCGGTCTTGGCCTCGGTACCACCCACAACGCAATGCAGTGCCACCTCAGCCGAATGCCACATCAGCATGCTCTCATCACCAATCATACATTCCGCCTGTCACCACGGCAATCAATGTCGTCTTAGCCTTCCGGCGCACACCTCTCTACCCAGGCTGTGCGCCTAATATGGCCTGACGTCACAAGAACCAACTGCGAAGAAGCATCGTCAACGCACCAAGTCTGTATAACGCCAGCGCACCAAGGTAAGTGGCGCATCAAACCAGCTCCAATACCAAATTGCAAGGAACATGAATACGGACGAAGCACAGAAATCCAGATTGCAAAATCACACTGAAGTCCAAGTAGTTAAAGCAAGAGCAGATAGCACAATGGAACCGAGTAACCATCCATTTGAGAACGATACAGAAGAATCGTGAGTCAATGTCCATGCCCAACAGGGCAACACCAACAGCATAACCCAATGTAGCTCTCTCTCCTGAATGGCGCCAGGCGCCCTATCTACTCTACAGCCTAAGCCTACAACTACAGCAATGGAAACAACTAGGCAACTTGACGACCAGTGAGTGATGATGTCAACACCAATGCCGACCTCCCACCTCCACCAGGTACGTCTCCTTCTTCACCCACACTCTCCCTTGTTATCCCACACAACGCCCTTCACTTCCGAAGAACCACCTTCGCCCTCACCTCTCCTGCGCGTTTAGGCAGCCCGGCTATGGCCGCCAGCGCCCTCTGCACAGGCAGCGCCCTACCGCCTAGCGCCTGCCTGCCTCGCACCTCATCCTAGCGTAGCGCAGCAGCTCGCATTAGCGCAGCGTGCCGGCATTGCCCGCAATGGCCAAGATCCCTGCCCACTCGCCCTGCTTGCCTATATGCCAGTGTTGCGTGTGGGCGGCCTCCCTTCAGCCTGCGTCTGGGCCCCAGTTGCTGAACCCTGGCCCGATGCAGTTGAGGCCCTGGGGATGCAGTTGCACCTCTTTCGTCAAGGCCTGCCGCCAGATTTAGATAGTGGGCCGATTTCCCTTTGGCATTTTCGGCCTCTATACCCAGCATGCATTGTCAGCCTCACGTTCAAGTGCCCAAGGCCTAACTAACTCAGAGGCCCTGGGTTTTCCCCATTTGCTGAGATCCGAGACTCGATGCACTCCAACCAACTGGCGTGCTGCAACTGTATGGACCCCACTTCGTGAAATGTTTGCACAGAGGACTCTTGTTGATTTGCTGGCCCGCCTTCACTTAGGGCGGGCAGGAGGCTTGCTGGGGCCTTAGCCTAGAACATGTACATCATGGCAAGGCCCCTTCTTGAGGGCTCAATCCTCACAAATACTTTAGACTTAATTCATCTCTTTTTGGAATACCCTTAATTTCTTTCCAAATTCCTTGGAATACTTTTGCAACTCATAATTAGCCCTTTTCCGAAATTTTGAATTCACATTTTGAACTTTGAAATTAATTACTTATTTTTATGAAATTATCTCGAAATTTCTTTTCTTTGCCGACATTTCTTTAAATTCACGTTCGGAACTAATCCCTTCCTTCGGAATTAATCCCTCCCTTCGGAATTAATTATTATTTTTCCAAATTTTCAACCATTTTTTTTTTTAATTCCTTTTCCTAATTATTTCTCTATAATTCGAAGATATTCCAAAATTTCACATAAATAGATTTTGAAATAAATTCAAATTTATTTTCTTCCAATATTTTGAACAATGATTTTGTAAATCTCTCCTTTGGATCATTCAAAATTTTGTTCTACCCAAATTAACTTCGAATAAATAAAGTTCCAATCGGAATAAATTTATTTATTTAATATTAATTCCCTACTTTCCAAAAAATCTTGGCAATTATCTTTATTTTTGAATTTATTGATAAATAAATAAGGGATTSCCCCCCCCCCCCYCCACATGCCACCACGCCAAACCAAGAACTCCCAACGTGCCGCCGCCGACGCCGCCGCTGCTGCATCCTCCACACCCGTTCAGGCCACGTCCTCCACCCCCTCTTCCCCCGACATGGCTGCATCCTCCATCAACATGTTTGACATCCGCACCGACTCAGTCGATAGCATCGCCCGCAACCTCGCAGGCGAACAGCCACCAACAAACACTGCCACCCCCGACCTCTCCGCCATCCTCCACACACTCAACACCCTCCGAACTTCCGTCACCGCCTCTCTCGACGACATAAAGGCCAACATGTCGTTCATATGCGACCGCGTCACCACGCTCGAAGGAAACACCCCCGCCATCACGGTCGTCACCACGATCCCCCCCCAATGAAAACCCCTCTTATCCACCTCCACTATCACCTCAACTATCCCCAACTACACTCGGATTATCCCACACGCTGTGTATCCCGCTCCCCCACTACTTCCCCCAAATGCACTCATCCCCACCCAACCTCACCAATGATTTCACCCTGGTCGACTCCCCCACCCCCACCCTTGATTTCAACACCCTTGCCTCCATTAACCCCAGAGAAGGCAAAATCCCCCCATCATTCCGCGTCAACAAAATCCCCACCTTCTTGGGCCAACCCCATGAGGATGTCCTCCTCTTTCTCACCAAACTCCAACAAGCCTTCTCCCTCCATGGCATCCCCGTCATCCACTGGCTCCCCATCGCTGGTGGCCGACTTCTGGACAACGCGGCTCGCTGGTGGTACACCGAAATGTCTAATCGCCACCACTCCAGTCTCCGGCCTCACACCTTCCTTGAGTGGGCCACCCTCATCACCTCCACCTTCCGCCCACAGGAAACGGTCGACGACTATATCGACCAATTCTGCCAGCTCCAACAAAACGGCCCAACCGACCGTTTGTGCAATACGTCCGCTCACTTCGCCAACATATCCCCATTGATGTCGTCAGCGACTTCGCCTTCATCTCCCGCGTTAAGCGCACATGCCGCAAAGACCTGGCGGCCGCCCTTGTCCACGAGCCCCCCATGACCCTCGCCGACCTCCTCACTCGTACCCTCCAACTCGATCGCATCCTCTCCCCCTACAAGACTGCACTTACATTGGCCCCTTCCCGCCCTCGCTTCTTCCACAACATCGCCTCCGAGGACACCACCTCCACCACCTCCTCGRACRAGTTCACTACACCGGACCCCGACGCATCTTCCGATTCACTCGATTCTTCATCCCTCTCTTCCGAGGAACTCAATGTCATCCAATTCATGAGGATGGAACGCAGAGATCGCAGCTCTCGACCACCCTCATCTACCCCACCCTCCCGCCTCAAGAAACTTACCCCCGAGGAGCGCACCTACCTCCAAGCAAAAGGGGGTTGCTTCCGTTGTCGTCAATTGGGGCACCAACAAAACCAATTGCCTCAACGCCGCACAATTCACCCGCCAGTCCACCTCCACTCTACCCGCAACCTCCGCATCACCGCCCTCGGCAAGCGCGGGTCCCTCCTCATCATGAACACAGTCCCCAGGACATCGACCCGGCATCGACATCGCGTCTGTCGGCCCACCCATCGGTGACGTCCTCCGTCCCATCCATGGCCCATCTGGCATCGACAATTCGTCTGCCTCCCCCCTCTCTAGTGACGCCGCCTCCACCGGACGACTCCCAGGCGTCGCAAACAACTCCCACTGCCTCATGCTCCTCTACCCTTCTTCCAAACCCATCCACTATCACCTTCTCCGATGTTGTTGAGGAACAAGCCCGACACGATCGGCTTGTCCGCTTAGGCAACGAACAACGCCGCCTCAACACCATCATCTCCACCGCCAACTCATCTCGTTTCCACCTCAAATTCATCGTTGCCACCCTTGATGCGTCTACAACTAAGTTCCGGGCCCTCCTCGACATTGGAGCCACCGATAACTTCATCACCGACGCGTGTGTCCGCAAAGCCGGTCTTACCTCTACCGGTTATGACTCCCCGATCACGATTCGCCTAGGGGACAAAGACACCGCCGTCGTAGTAGACTGCACGGTTCCAGAGACCACCATGACCGTCGAAACCCTCCGCAGTCAGGTCTCGTTTGATGTCATGCACTTGATGTGCGACATCGTCCTAGGGACCCCGTTGCTTGACCGCTACATGCCCTACTCATTCCACCCCTCCTTCCTCCGCCTCACCAACCCTCCCGACTCTCCCGTTGACATCCCCTACCTTCTTCCCCCTTCCACCCCACCCCCCSTCTCCCCACATCAATTCCTCCACATGTCCCGTGAACACCCTGACTCCGCTTACTATTGCCTTGTCATCGACCGCGAGCGTCCCGAGGACTTGCTTCCAACGGACAAACCCGACCAAGATCCTCCTTCTGATCCCCACATCACCGCCCTCCTCTCCGAATTCAAAGATGTCTTCCCCGAGTCCTTGCCCGCCGGTCTACCTCTCGATCGCGGTGTATCCCACACCATTGATCTCGAGCCCGGCCACTCTCCTCCTTGTCGCCCCCCGTACCAGCTCTCTGTCCCCGAGGCCGAAGAGATGAAGTGACAACTTAATGAACTCCTTGAGAAAGGATTCGTTAAGCCTAGCTCCTCCCCCTTCGGAACCAGTTGTCTCTTCGTTAAGAAGAACGGCACCTCGAAACTCCGCATGTGCACAGACTACCGTGCCCTGAACCGGATCACGATAAAGAACGAGTACCCACTCCCTCGCATATCCGAGCTTCTTGATCGCCTCAGTGGAGCCAAGTATTTCACCTCGATTGATCTCCGCAGTGGCTTCCACCAGATCCGCATCCGCGAGGAGGACACCCACAAGACCGCCTTTCGCTCTCGCTTCGGGCACTACGAGTTCCTCGTGATGCCCTTCGGACTCACCAATGCCCCCGCCACATTCCAATCTACCATGAATCACATCTTTTGCGACCTCCTCGAAGTTTGTGCCGTGATCTACCTTGATGACATCCTCGTCTTTAGCCCCACCTTTGAATCCCACCTCGAACACCTTCGCAAAGTTCTCTCCATCCTTCGAGAACAAAAGTTATACGCCAAGCTCAGCAAGTGTACATTTGTTGCCCCTAGAGTAGAATACCTTGGCCACATTGTCTCGGCCGACGACATCCGCATGGACCACAAAAAGGTCTCCGCCCTCGTCGAGTTCCCACCTCCCTCCACCTTGACCAAGCTTCGCTCATTCATTGGACTCGCCAACTATTACCGCCCCTTCATTCAAAACTTCTCCGACGTCTCCTACCCTCTCCATGAGCTCACCCGCGCCACCGAGTCCTTCACATGGACTGAACGCCGCCAAGCCGCTTTCGACAAACTCAAGTAACTCATCACCACCGCCCCCATCCTCAAGATCGCTGACCCCACTCGCCATTTCTTCGTCACCACTGATGTCCTGTCCCAGCATTTCCCTCCTGACCCCACCGAGATCCCCTCTGTCAAAGATTCCCCTACTCACTCAAAGTCCCCACCCGGCGAACACCCCATTGCCTTCGCTAGCAAGAAACAACTTCCCGCGGAGATGAATTACCCCTCCAACGAGAAGGAACTCCTAGCCGTGGTCTATGCCCTCCAAGTTTGGCGCCCGTACCTCGACGGGCAATACTTCACCATCCGCACTGACAACACAGTCGTTTCCCCCATCCTTACCAAGAAAGACATCACCCCCCGCCAAGCCCGATGCTAAACTTCCTTGCCCAGTTCACCTTCACCATTTTTCACACCCCCAGCAAAAGCAACCGCGTTGCTGATGCCGTCTCCCGCCGCCCCGACCACAAGCCCCCTGAGAAAGTCTACGTCGCCATGACCCACATTCAACTTCTTCCCTCGTTACATCGCCGCTACACCCAAGGTTACCTCTCTTGCCCAGACTTCGCTTCATTTACTACCAACTCCGCAACCTTGACTCAGTCCCTGACTACTCTCTCCATGACAATCTACTCTACATTGACATCAAGGGCACTCGCCGACTCTGCATCCCTGACGCACGTGGTCTTCGTACCTAGCTCTTGGCCGAGCACCACGACGCCAAGACCGCTGGCCACCTCGGTTTCCAGAAAACCTTCGACACCATCTCCCGCTACTTCTATTGGCCTTCTCTACTCGCCGACGTCAAAGCATACATCCGCTCGTGCCCCACCTGTCAGGCCGATAATCCCTTGAACCGGGCCAAGCCCGACAAGCTCCAATCATTGCCCATCCCTACCCACCGGTGGCAGTCCATCTCCATGGACTTCGTGTGCGGCCTCCCCAAGACCGACCGTCGACATGATTGCATCTACGTCATTGCTTGTCGTCTGACCAAACGCGCCCACTTCATTCCTTGTACCACCTCGCACAATGTCAGAGACATCGCCATACTCTTCTTCGATCATGTCGCTCGCCACCACGGTCTCCCCGAGAACATCATCAGTGACCGCGATCCCCGCTTCCTATCACAGTTCTGGAAACACCTCTTCCAAGCCTACGGAACCACGCTCAAGTATARCACTGCATTCCACCCCCAGACCGATGGCCAGACCGAGAAGATGAACAATACTCTCCAAAGAATTCTGCGGAAGTATTGTCATCCACAAACATGACTGGGATCAATTGCTCACAGCCGCCGAGATTGCCTACAACAACACTGTCTTCCCACTGGCATGTCCCCTTTCTACCTCAACCTTGGCTACCATCCCCGCTTGCCCTCTGATTTCTAGCTTCCCTCGCAGCTCAGCCCCTCCACCCCTTGCCCCTCTCTCAATGAATGGGTAGCAACAATGAACAGACTCCTCAGAGAGGCAACCGAAGCCCTTGAAAGAACACAAGAACAACAAGCAAACAACACTAACAAACACAGATGTGACGTCTCATTCAAAGTAGGGGACAAAGTCTGGCTTTCTGCCAAACGCTTTGAACCCGAACAAGGCTTGTCCAAGAAACTCTCGAACAAGTGGCTCGGTCCCTTCCCCATCATTGAACAAGCCTCTCCCGTGAATTACAAACTTCAGCTTCCACCTGACATGCGTCGCGTCCACCCAATCTTCCTCGTAGAATACCTCAAGGAATACCACGAGTCCCCGCCCTAGTTCGCTGACCTCCACCAATCATGCTTCCAACAGGCCCATAATTCATAGTCGAGTGAATCATAGGACGAAGAACAACTCAAGTATCAGATCACCCGGAACCAATCACCGAATACAAAGTAAAATGGACCGGATACCCTGATGAAGAATCAACATGGGAACCCCTTGATAATCTCAAGAATGCCATGAAACTTGTTCGTGCCTATGATCGTGCCTACCCTGTATACCCGGATGGACCTGATTCCTGATGTCTGATCTGCCATTGCCCTCGCCTAGCCTTGTCCCATCTGTCCTCTCCACTACCTTGTCTCCCTTGTTCAATGCTTGTGGACCTGCGTGACGTCGACGATAAAGGATCTAATGGCAAACGCACGAGGATGATGGCCTGCTACCTCACTGATCATGGAGATTATACAGCTGGTTTGGCCACCATGCTGTTTCATCGGACGACATCCTTACTCGTGGACTTGCTGGAGCAGCAACCTGTGACATGGATCTTTGCATCAGTCTGCGACTTCCTTGCTTCCAGATCAGACCTCATTGCAGTTCGTGTACCGGACGCACCCTAGCACTTGGACTTTGGACATGTGAACCACTGCTACGCTTCTTGGACTTCTACCTGTCGCAGCCGCTGAAGACCGCTTCTACCACCTACTCCAAGATCTGATCAAGACCGCTGCAGATCCCCTTTCAAGACACTTGGACACTTTGTTCCTACATGAGACTTGGCTTCCCACTCCTTCGGACATACCAGCCCTTGCATCCTGAACAAACACTTTCATTTTTCCTGACAACCCTGTAGAACATCATTAGAAATTCCCTGTTTCCCTGACCATTGTTCCCCTTACCCACTAGAACATCAATAGAAATTCCCTGTTTCCCTGACCATTGTTCCCCTTACCCACTAGAACATCAATAAAAATTCCCTTTTTTCCTGGACATTGTTTCCCCTTACCCAGTAGAACATCGATAGAAATTCCCTGTTCCCTGAACATTTCTTAGCTTCCCCCTGTAGACCTACCTAGTTACATCATACCTTCACCCGTACAGAACATTTGACAGAATACCCTGTGACTTGCATCACTCCCCTTCTCCTTTTCCGACCAGTAATCGGCCCCGTCCCGTCCTTCACAGTTCCCTTTTGTTTCCTTAGGTTTTTGGCAGCCGGGATGTTGCCCTTCAGAGGGAGGGGATAGTGTTACGGACTCCGCCAGGGCTCGATCCCTGGTCTACCTTTTGCTGTTTCTGCTGCATCCCGCTTTTGGCCTGGCACCCTTTTTCCAAACCCCTCCTTTGGTACCGTCGGATTTTGGACAACTGGTGCCATGCTGCAATTCGGGCGCCACTTTCAAATGCCGCATTTTTCAGTTCTGCCCCCGGGGGCTTTTGCAGAGATGCCCCTGGTACCGTACGTGTCACCAGCACTTATACCGGTTCCCCGTACAGTACGGGCAACCAGTCTCGTACCAGTTTCTGCTGCTGTACTTGTACTCAGTGGGACTTGCTCCTGTTTTCGGCATTCAGAATCCAAGACTTTGACTTTGTGTCCTTGCCACTGTGTCTGCGTCCGACCCCGAGTGGTGTCGAGTGAGTGAATGTGTGTGTGCTCTCACTCTCTCCCTCTCTCTCCCCTCTCCCTCGGCTCTCCCTGTCTCCCTCAGCCTTGCGCTCGTCACAGCTCTCATACCAATTGTTACGATCCTGGTCATTCCCAAAGTGCAAATTCACAACGAAAGACAATGCCACCCAATTGCGAAAGAAATGAAAGCACTTGCAAAGAGATAGAGACCAGAGAAGAGAGAGAGAAGAAGAAGAAGAAGAAGTACACCAGCAAGACCAATGACAAATCCCCCTTCTCTCTCCACCTTCCTCCTCCTCCTTAACTTCTCCAATCTTATTCTTCTTCCCAATTATAATAACAATGAGTGGATGAACCAGAATCAATATCCGAAGTTCCCCCTTACTGCTGACACAACAAACACAACATGTTCACCATAGCTAAGGCTTCCCCCCTTCTTCCACTTCTCACAAGCCTAGGCAATGGCAGAAAGCTGAGGGCTCTGCCCCTCTCTGTGCAAAGGACAACACAAAGCAGCTATGGCGCTACGCTCCTGTCCAAAGGACAACCCAAAGCAGCTATGCCGCTGCTGACTATGCCGCCATGCCTGACTCTGCCTCGAGCTTCCTTGGTGCGACACTACCCCAACTGGGGCCTTCCAGATGCAGCGCCCAACAAGGTGATGAAGATGGTGTCCACCATAGCCAGGTAGGTACCTCGCCACTCTCCTCCTTTGCCCCCTTCTTCCTCCTCAGGCTGGGCTGCTCGCCATAGCCAGGCTGAGCGCCCAGCTGCCCTTCACCTCCAGGCAGCGCTGTACCAGTCCAGCGCTTGGCTCAGCGGTATGTCGCCAATCCTTGCATACCACAAATGAGGAGGAGCTACTTGCTCCTCCGGAAGATATAGCGGCCTACTGGCCTCTTGGGCGGTGACTTCCTAGGCCGAGCGGCCTCCCAGCAACTGGTACCTCCTCCCTTCCAGAGGGAAACATCATTGCAGGCTCTGCTATTGTCCGGACAGGCCCTGGACCCGGGCTACTTGGACTGGTACCGGCCTACCTCTAACCTACCGCTACTGGGCCTCTAAAAAGGCCAACTTTTTGTCTTCTTCTGCTCGGCCTCCAGTACCCGACACTTCTACCACTTAGTGGTACCGGCCTACCTGCCACTTGAGTGTTTTTCCCCGCTGCTCTAAGTGTCGCGGGCCTACCCCCGCTACTTGAGTGTTTTCCCCGCTGCGCCACTCAAAGTCACGGCCACAGGTAAGTACCGGCCCTGCGGGGCCTTTCAACCAACAAGTACCCTTGCGGGTCGCACACAGGCTCAGCCGACGAGCACTCAGACAGGCATGCAAACCAGCAGGCACGCACACACACACAGACATGTGCAATGACTTGCTGGTTCCAGATTGCCTGTAGCCTCTCTCTGACGAGGCTGTACCATAGGTAGGGACAGATTCATAATTTTGTTTGGCTGAGGGCTAACCGAGAGACCTACCTGTAAGGAGGGACATATTCGTAAATATAAGAAATATGGGCCCAATACTAACTCGAATTTCCTAGAGCTATCCTAACTGAGAATAGCAGACCCGGGATACCCCTAGGACAGACAGGCCCAATGGGCCTACGCTGAGAGACGGTCCTATAGCCTATAGCCGGGTAGGGAGAGGCCCTACGGGCCGAAACAGAAACGGTACCGGTCCGTCAGTCCGTCCGCTCTAGGTCGAGTCTAGGCTAGGGTAGAGTATAGATAGGTTGAGAGAATTGGTCCAGACCTATTGGCAGTTGACACTTCATGGTGGAAGTTGCTGCGCACGCAGCATCAGGTCGTGGTGACTGATCCATGCGTGGGTGACGGCGGACATAGCCAGACCTTCGGAGCGCTGACCAGACTGGGGTCAACGCTGTTCACTCTGACTCTCTGGAGTCAAAGCGGTCTGGGCTATCAGAGGTCTGGTGCGTTGGAGCACGTGGAGCACGTGGTGCACTGCTGACCCTCCTCAGGAGTAGGGTCCCAGTGGCGATGCAGCCATAGCTGCATCTTCTCAGAGATTATCATCGTCTGGACTTCATCTTCATCAGGGACTGTTGGCGCTGAGCTTCTTCCTCATCATCTGAGTGGCGATTGGCTCTGGGAGACTGTTTCATTTTGGCGCAGGCCACTGAGTTGGATGTCAGGGTGGCGCTGGGTGTTACCTGGGGTCCTGGTGCTATTTTTAGCTGTTCGGTGTGTGTGGGGTTGAGGTGCTACCCCTCTGAGGGTAGCACAGCAGGGTTCTGAGGTTATTCAGTGAAAACGATGCTCTGAGTTTAATAAACAGTTGTAATACTGTGTTCGAGTTGTCATCTCTTCATTGATTTCTGGCTGTGATCACTCGGTTGTCTTCTCTGAACAATTGTTGGGATTTGTGTGGAGAGAATTCACTGGGTTGTGTATTCTGTCACTGTGCTCCTCTGAGTCTTCCGCTGCGTTCTTTCTGTTGGGCGGTGTGACACTCCACTACCTCTCCCCTTCCTTCTGTGCATATATGGGCGTGTACAGGAGTTCCTGTGTCATTGATTTCTGGCTGTGATCACTCGGTTGTCTTCTCTGAACAATTGTTGGGATTTGTGTGGAGAGAATTCACTGGGTTGTGTATTCTGTCACTTCGCTCCTCTGAGTCTTCCGCTGCGTTCTTTCTGTTGGGCGGTGTGACACTCCACTACCTCTCCCCTTCCTTCTGTGCATGTATGGGCGTGTACAGGAGTTCCTGTGAGTGAGCGTTGACAAAATTTCAACGGACAATCATGTTCATAACACA